TCCTCTTACTATACACTTTAAGCTAAGTATTAAACTGAGCTTTTCTATTGCTAAGGAGAAGGCATGAGAAGAGTTCCATATACATCAATAGTAGGAAATTTGACATACGTAATGGTATGTACTAGGTGAGATATAGCCTATGCAGTTTGTGTTGTTAGTCGTTTTCTATCAAATTCAAGCAAAGATCATTAGAATGCAATTAAGTGGATTATGATATATCTACGAGGTACTTCCAACCTAAGACTCACTTTTGGAAGTGGGAAACTAGTGCTAGTTGAATATAACGATTCAAATATGGAAGAAAATATGGATTCCTAAAAATTCATTTCGGGTTATTTGCTTACATTATTGAGTGGCGTTGTATCTTGGCAATCAAGACTACAAAAATGTGTTGCACGGTCTACAATAAAGGCAGAGTAGTTGCAGGTACTAAAGCATGTAAAAAGTTGTTATGGATGAAAAAGTTCATACATGAGCTCAATTTCAAGCAGCAATATTATGTGATATTTTGTGACAATCAAAGTGTAATTCACCTTGGTAAGAATATACTTTTCATTTAAAATCAAAACACATTGATGTGAGGTATTTTTGGTTAAGATACTCCTTATGACAATTTATTTGAACTTGACACCAATCATAATGGCTCTAATATGTTGACAAAAATACTACCAAAAAAGAAACTTATAGTTTGTTATTAGATAACCGGGATGTTGATTCTTTTCACAAACTCGAAAAAAAGGATATTTGTTGGGCTTGAGTTCTTTTCATCGTGGAGGAGCCCATAACTAAAACCCATACTTTAGGGATTTTTTAGTCATTTCCTACATGGTTAAAGGTTATTTAACACCCTTATATTCTTGTTTTATGCAACTGCGATGTGGCATAAAAAAGAGAGAATTAAAAAGTAATGACTAGGTGGCACGAGAGAGAAAAAAAAAGAGAAAAGAAATTTATACATTTATGATCTTTGATTAAAGTCGATAAGTGGTTTAATTGAGTTGAAATTTTATTTATATATTCACGAATCATTATTCTTAAATCTAAACAGAGGAAATTAGATTTCAAATTTTCTACATATTGATTTGATTAGTCTTTAAATTTGATAAGACTTATTTAATTTTTTTTGTAAGATTATTTGTTTGCTAAAATTATTTAATTTTGAAATATTGTAATTATATTCTTTTAATTCTAACCAAAGAGAAATTTGTATTGATAGCGAAGTCTAACTCCATTGAACTATGGTTTTGAATTTCTGGTCTATATGCCTTTTATATTGTTTACTAAACAAATTTCAAAATGCAAATAATTACGATGAATTTTGTCAAATATTTAGGGCAAATATCAGCATATGATGATGCTATACAGTGAGTAGGTCAAGGATATTTGTTGTACTAAAAAGTTAATATTAAACCTTCATTAGGTTCTTCTTTTAGCTTGCTATAAAGTTTGGTGTCTTTCATTGGTTTAATTAAACTAATATGACTTTTAGAACTCAATAATAATTTATCTATCTTCCGTTTAAAGTGGATACAACTTATAAACTTAATTCTATAATCTTTGCTTAATTCAACGCCGGCAGCCACTATAATGTCAGGAGACTTGGGTTTAGTTTTTTTTTTTTTAATTGAGACTGTTGAAATTTAAATTTTATTTATTAAAAGTAAAAATTTAATATTTTATTGATGTATCCTGTGATTGTTACAACTTAAATTTAGTAATTAGGAATCATTATTAAGTTAGAATCTTTGGACAACTATATAATTTATGATCTTCAATGTTCTTCAAATTTGTCTCACTTTTCCAACTAGGTCGGTTGGCAAGATGCGCATATTTCAAACTTATGGGGACAAAACGAGGAATCATAGTCGTCGAATTCAGATTTTATATGAAATGGTTGAAATAATCCAATATATTCACCTTACATTGTTCACCATACCCATTTATTGAGGGTGGCCGACCCTGTGAGTACATACTTTATCCCTCATTTTTCTACTCCCAAGACATAAATCCAAGGAAAAAAAAAAAGTAACAAAATTTTGTAGTAAATTATTAGAAAAACAATTCTTCTATTTTCGGGGTTCAAAGTGCAGATCCATAGCTCATTTCTGTCCTCTTCAATCTTTCGCCTTTTCTTTTTGCCCGGGAGCCTTGTTTGGTCATCATTGACATGTACGTATAAGAATGTGGATGGTCTACCTAAAATTTTTCCAAGATACGTGCTTATGTTCACGCAACTGACAAATCGGCTTGTCCATTATGACAACTCTTTCTTTGCATTTAATAGTATTTAATTAATCTTGTGTTTAAGAGCATTTGATTCATCAATGGCATGCTTACCTCATTTGTCTGATATTGTAACCCAACTTGTTAAACTGAAAACCCAACCACCTTGCTCGATAAGGAACACGAATATAAATGGGGCATAAAATTGTAAAGAGTTAGAGAATTCCAATTCCTAAATTATGTTAAATTTGACTTTTTTTTTTTTTTGCATCGTTTTAATGCAAATATATAAAACCTGTCAACCACCAGATAGAGACCAACTTGCTTCACAGTCACAGAATACTGGCAGAAGTTTCAAACCTCTCTTATTTGACTGTTGAAAGAGCTGTGCCAATCAAACTGAAAGATAAAAATAATAAAAAGAGTCGAGGCCCTGATGGAAACCTCTACTTAACGAATGCCAACTCTATGGACGATGCCTTCTATTCCTTTCGATCCCATCCCTCACAATTTCTAATGAAGAATGGTATGGACACACTAGAACTGGTTAACTGCTAGGGTATACACAGCCTAGCATTGTTTTTAGATCAAATCAATAAGAAAGGCAAGATATGCAGCATCCAGTAGGAATGGACTTCATGATGTGTCTCATGACCCCTTGTAGCAAGGACTAAGATCTATGGCTAGCAATCTCAACTCTCAACTCTGAACAATTGAGCTAGAGTTTGATTACTTTTCGAAAAAATCCGATAAAATTAAAAAGATACAATAGATTATCGTGATATTTAGGTTCTCCATTAATGAGCAGCACAGTAGAAAATGGGCCACGGACAGAGATGTAAGTGGGCTAGCCTGCTCTGAATTGGGTTTTGTAAGGAGGATGTGGACAAGAACTGCATGTGCTCCTTGTATCAAAACCAATGGCGTCGGTTACCTTCCTCAAGAATTTGATACAACATTTCAGCATTTAAATTGCTCTACTACTTGTCGGATATTTTATTTTTTGGCTTGGGACCAGCATCGTGCCTAGTTTGGAAGTGCAGTGTCATTTTTCTTGACTTGTTATGAACCTGTGATGAGCTTGCCACAAAAAAAAAATCCTTTCGGAATTAGAGACGGTTAAAGTTTTCTATGAGATTTAATTCAAGAAAAAGAGATCATTAAATCTCAAAGTTAGAATTTCTAGTTGAATCTTCGTTCACTTCAACCACTCCAGTCATTCTCACGCGGTTGAAAATCAAGCATCCATGACCAAATAAATATGAAATGTTTTTGTTGAAAGTCGAAAGAAACTATTTTCAGAAGCCCCAATTAATATTCGTGCCCCGTGGGCTAGTGAAGTATTAGGCCGACAGGTAAATGGGCTTCAACATCTAGGCCCCATATAGGTTGGTTAAAGATGAACTTGAACCGTTTAACGTAGAACATTTGATCAACATTTTATGAAATGCTCTATTTCTGTTTATTTATTAAATTTAATAAATGATTACATATAATATTTGAAAATTTATTAATTAAAAATAACTAGATCACAAATATTACGTTCAATTCGTTTTACACTCGGAGATATAAATAAATAAAGCATTTATTGAATAATTTTTGAATAAATTTAATTTTTATTTATTTATTAAATTTAACAAATGATCACAAATTATATTTTAAAATTTATTAGTTAAATAAAAAAATTATGAATATAATAAAATTCGTTCATATTTGATTTATTTACGCTCTTAGTGAGATTAATATTGCAATTAGGGTTTTAAAATTTCACAAATATGATTAGAATAAATGACATATGATAACATTTTAATTTTTATGAAATTTAAAATTTTATTATGAATGATTAAATAATAATAGATTTTTTTTGTAAATAATAATAATAATAATAATATTATTATTATTATTATTATTATTATTATTATTATTATTATTATTAGACACTTAAAATCATAGTATAGCATTTTCTGTTACATTCTTGAACATGTTGCTTAAGCACAAAATACCATTTCAACAGTTCATGATATTCTTATTAGGTACATTGAAATATAGATGATTAAGTTAACATATTTTCTATTTTATTTATTTGTCTTTTAATTCCTCCATCTTATGGAGAAGACATTTTAAAGCATTTGGGGTTATATTTATACCCATTTCTCATGGCTGAAAGAAATTTTTTATTTAGGGTTCGCAGCATCTTAGATTTTTCAGGAATGAAGTTTTTTCCGTCAAATATTTCAACATAGACATATTTAAAAATGATTAATTTTTTAAATATTTAAAATTTTTTTTCTCACATAGTGACTAGATGATACAAATACAAATGATGCACTTTCTTGAAGACATAAAAATGGTTAAACATCGTAGATTGAAAATCTTGAAAATGAAAGATTGAAGGTTAAGGCAAGACTAAAAAATAAAAATTGAAGTGTCATGAGATGACAGATAGTCACCTTTTATTTTTAACAGTTTTTTTTTTTTTTTTGGGTTTTCATATAAAAACAATATGCAATATTTTTTAAAATAAAAATGTGTTTGTAAAAAAATTAAAATAATTATTATATATATTTAGAAATACCATCAACAAGTTCAAACAAAAACAAAACGATCAAGTCATTGCATGTAGGGCTGTTAATATGCCAGTTTGCAACTACCCTAGAGAAGGGAAACCCAGCCCACTTCATCCTCCCTTCAGTAAAAATGTATTAATATTTGGCGTCGCCCGGACTCGAACCGGAGACCTTCAGTGTGTTAGACTGACGTGATAACCAACTACACCACGACACCTTTGAGATTTTTTTATAAATAAAATTTAATTGGTGTGATTATGTCAATAACTCTTAGTTCCCAGGGGATAGACAGAGATTGGATTGGGGAGAGTAGGAGTAGACAGGCCGTGGAAGATGCAGATGATGGGAATGTGTTCAACTTCATTTTCTAATTCAACATTTCTCTTAACTTCTCTTCGCTATGGCAGCAGCAGCAGCAGCTACCACAGTCATAACCAAAAGAATAACACCACTTTCTTTCTCTCTTTCCCTTTCAACAGAACCCTTCCCTCTTCTTCCTTGCCTCCACTTTCCCAAGCAACTCATTTCACTTCTCTTTCTGTTTTTCCCACTATAAATTCTAATAGGTTGCAGGCTTCTGCTTTTAATAAAGGAAGAAAGGTAAGCACTACCGTCTTCGAAATGGACGGTTCTGATGACGACGACGATGAATTCTTTGATTTTGATGATGAATTTGACGGTGGTGATGACGACGAAGATGAGGGTATGCTTTCCCCGCTTGGGAAAATGAGCAAGTGGTTTGAGAACAAGCCATGTGGGTTCGGTGAAGGGAAAGTATACGATACTACTATTGAAGACAAGCTGCTTGAAGAAATAGAGCAAAGCAGGCAAGCACAAATTGTTAATGTCAATAATCTCAAAAGCAATCCTGCCAAGTCTGGTTCCAAGAAAAATGATCGACAAAACAAAAAAGGTTTTGCATTTCGAACTTTATTAGTAAATTTATTGAAATGGTTTTCTCTTTGCAGTCTGTTTTTTTTTTTTTTTCAATGGCTTTTGTGATGGGCCTGTTGCTTTTTTTGCAATAGCTGAAGTTGTTCCAAGTGGAATTCGTGTGAGGGTGGGCAACCTTCCTAAGAAAAAGAATATTCACAGGGATTTGAAAGCTGCTTTCGATGGGGTTTCTGGAATAATTAATATATCTCCAGCTGTTTCTGGGAATAAGAAGACTAAAGACCATGTTTGCAAGGGTTTTGCCTTTGTTGATTTCAAGCTTGAGGTGGATGCAACTAGGTATGGTGTGATAAGAGATTGTACTCCAAACTTTAATCATTTTGTTAATTGAAAATTTGTGTAAGAGAAACTGATGAAAATGGTGATAAGATAAAATACTAGTTGCAGGAGTATGGCATTGTATGAAAATGAAAGTCGTGCAATAAAATTAAGAAGTCGAAAGCTACTGGTAATATAGCAACGAGTATTTGTTTTAAATCGGGTTTTCTAGGAGATTCTTTAAGTTTTTATTTTATATGCAATAATGCATCTTGCTTTAATTGACCTCAGGTGGCATATTGTTCTTGTTTATAGAGATTTGATATTGTACTATTGATGATTCCTTAACTGAAATAATGTTCTGTTATGGCAGGTTTGTGCAAAATTTCTCTGGACAATATCTCACCTTTGGTAAGATTCAGAAGCAAATAAAATGTGAGATGATGAGTTCGCATTCCCACAATCCTGCTCATGAACGACTGATTGACAATGATCACATGATGCATGAAATGGCAGTTTCTGGCTGGGTAGACAGTCCAAATGCTGATTTTGATATGAATAACAGTTCCTCAAATTTATCGTTGGAAAGTGTATCTGATAAAATTGATGATCAGGATGACGAGTTTGATGGAGTAGAACTTAGAGAAGGTAGAGACAATCTTAGTGTTATTAGTAAATCAGAGCCAAGTAATGGTGATGACATGGAACGAACATTTAAGCACGCAGAAGATTCAATTTCCTCAAATCGGCTAGAAAGAATTAGGGCTTTGGAGAAAAAGCTACTTGGTAGAGGAAAACAACAAAGAGTTCCGAAAGAGCCAAAGGATCAAAAGCTAGAAAGAATTAGATCTATTGAGAAGAAGGTACTTGCTAAAGGAAACCAGCAAAAGGTTCCAAAAGAACAAAAGGTTCAAAAGCTTGATATTCCAGGATCTGCAAAAAGGTACTTCTCTGCATTATCGCAAGACATTGGTGAATGACATTTTTCCTTTAATATGGTTTGAAATTCAAAGTTGTTTTTATCATTTTGTGCAGGTTAAAGATTAAGGAAAAAGCTCTGCTAACGGGAGTCTTCTCCAAATATCGGTTTAAAACTGCTTTGACTTCCAAGGAAGAGTCCTAATAATGTGTAGATTGTTTGATATGGCATGTTAACAGCAGCTCAGTTGACTCTGAAATTTGCCAGACTGGTAACAAATGGCCTATATTTTGGTTTTATTAAAAAACCTTATTTCAAGAGATTATTGTGGGAAGGCAGTGAATGCCTCTAGAGAACTCTTTACGGCATATTATTTTCTTTGCCATAAGATTACTGTTGGTTGTTATTTTGCATCTCTGTTCACCAGGCAAGCTATTCCATTTTATACAAGTATAGAAAGATTAGGTTGAATATTTGGTCCTGGTTTTATAGGAATTCCATATTGTTGATTTCCTTTTTAGGAGTCATTTGATTCGAGGAAATTTAATTTGTTTTCGAAATCTTGATTATGATTATTTGATTTTGTCGTTTGGTTTAAGATTATTTGATTTTTAAAGAAAATACCAAATTGTTAATAGTTTCCAAAATTTTTGAATTAAAAATCACTTTTCTTTGTAATATTTTATAATTTTGTGTGAAAAATTATTTAAATTTTATATTTGATGTGAATAAATTTTTTTTTTATATTATCTTTTTAAAAGCCACTTTGACTAGGGTTGATAATGAGTCGGGTGGGTTTTTGCTTGTCCTGAACTCTAATTCAAATATAATAAATTCGAACTCGATTTGATCTGATTTTTTTTATTTTTTATACTCGAATCCGAATTTGATCAAAAATTGTATAAATCGTATTTGATTCGATTTGAAATTAATAAAATATTATTTTTTAAAATAAAATATATATATAATTATTCATAAATAAAAATTAAAAAATAATTTTTAATATAATATCAAATAAGGTTGGATTTATTTAAAATTTAAATTTGATTTGAACTTATTTTTTTTTAATAATATTTGATTCAAAATTCGAATTTAAAAAAAAAAAATCGATTCTATTTGATCGTATCGGATCAAAACTTATCACTCGGATTGAATTGTCAATTTTAAATCAGACAATATAATTAAATTTTTAAAAATTAATTATGGTGTTTGTAGTGGACAAAATACAGTAATTGATATATATAAATATTTTTGTAATACTATATATGTTATTAGTGGCTATTACGACGTTTTTCTGAGTGGCATTTAATTACTGTCTATTACGGTGTTTATTATATAAAAACACCGTAATTGAGTCTGATCTGATAATATTTTGATGATATTTTGATGGTGATTCCAGTTGCCACACCAATACAGATAAGGGAGCTGATGAAGGCTGAAGGTTTGACCAATGGTGAAGTGAAAAGCCATCTTCAGGTAACTCTCTCTCCACTGAGACATGCAAGGGCAAGCAAGAAAGTGCATTTGTACTAAACCGGACACAGTACCAACGCCGCACACAATTTCTGATAAATAAGTCAATAAAGAGCTTGTAGTCCTAGGTGGCATCTGGGTCCCACTAGAGTATGCCACTGCCGCTGCAGCGGTCCACGGAGCCCAAGTCCACTGCCGTGTTTGAGTATTTAAATGAGAACAATTATGATGTTTTTTTAATTAAACGTTGTAATCAAGTTTAATAATTTTTTAAATGAAAGTAATTATTATGTTTTCTTTAATTAAACATCACGAATATAATTATTTTTTAAAAATAACATCAATTATTGTATTTTTTCTATAAATACAATAATTGATATAATTTAAATATTATAAAAATATAAAATTTTTTTGTTTATTCAATAATAAATGCATTATTTATTGTATTTATTTTTTAAAATAACAAAATGAAAGGTTTTTTAAAATTATTAAGAATATTATTCTCTTCGATCAAATACAAAAATTTAAAAATAAAATAATTTAAAAATTAAAATTTTCTTTGAATTTTATATTTTTTGAATATTATTTTTTTTATAAAATTTAAAATTTCTCAAATCAAACGTCTCATGGCGAAACTCGTCTTTAAAATTTGAAGTGTATATATCATATAATTTATGGTTAGGGACTAGCATTGCACCTTTCAGAGTACAGCCAACATCTAAGTAGTAGCATCTCCTCCCTTTTTCTTTGTTCTTTTTTCTTTAATAAGGAGATTATGGGATATGGGAGGATTGAGTTTGGGTAAGAAATGCAGCCTAACAAAAGATATATTGGCAGATACTTGGCCCCAAGTTTTTAGTTACAAGTTACAAGGCCGGTGCTAAACCCCAAGCCGAAGAAAGAATTTCAAGATTCATCCGTGATCAGTGCCACATAGGTTTTGTAAGCGGACATGAAAATAGATTTAGTAATTTAAAATATAATATGATAAAATATATAAAAATAAAAAAATTAAAATTTTAAGAAAATTATATATGAATTTATAAAATAAAAAATATTTTTTATGTTTTTTTTTTTTTTTTACATTCACACGAATTTTATATATAATTTTTGTGTAAAATATTATAAAAATATATAAATTATTAATATTTTATTAAAAAATAAATATAAGAATTTTGTTAATATTTTACACCTCAAAGGAACTGTATGAAATAAATAAATAAATAAATAAAACCAAATTTAAGAATGAGAAATAAGAAGAAAACGCAATGAATTAAGTCAAAGAAATAAGAAGAAAACCAAAATCATAAAACGGGGAAAAAAATATGGCAATGTTGATGAAAAGAATTGCTGCTAACTTGACCAAAGCCACAGCAAAACCTGCCCCTCCTTTTTCTTCCAAAATCCATTCTTTCACCCGTCGCTCACTTTCTGCAGAAGACGATCTGGTCTATTCCGACCCACCTGTGTCAACCACCGTAAACCCCCTTTTGCCCAACATCCTTCAACCACGTGTCGTCATCTATGATGGGGTCTGCCATCTTTGCCACCGAGGTTCTTTTTCTATTCTCTTTTGCTCTAAGAACTTTGATAAAAACATGAATGTTTTGAGTAATTGGGTTTTGTTACCGTTCAATCTCTTCTTACTTCTGCTAGTGTGTGTTTGTCATTTTAAAGGGGTGAAGTGGGTGATTAAAGCGGACAAATACAGGAAGATCAAGTTCTGCTGCGTCCAGTCAAAAGCTGCTGAACCATACTTGAGTGTTTGTGGTGTTGAACGAGAGGATGTTCTTCGGCGTTTTGTTTTCATTGAAGGCCTTGGTGTTTATCACCAAGGTTCCACTGGTTACTTCTCTGACCGCTCATTTTCTTCCAGAATAAACGGCTCTTTCTTTGGCTAAATGCTCTATGACGTTTGCCTGATTTTCGATTAAGAATCTCAACTTTAATTTGATTTAATGGATATAATATTTTTGAATTTGTTCAAATAAAATCTTCGACTGTGATTTACACGCGTAAATAAATAACGTGAATCATTGATTTGCAGCATAATAAACAGTAAACATAACCAAAAACTTTGCTTACTTTGGAATCAGCCTCTGCCTCCGACAATCTTGTCGTTAATGACCACCGCCGGTCTTCGTATTTCACCAACAACACAGCTTCTTCGTGATTGAAATCAGAATCTTTGGTTCATCCCTCTTTGCATTCTTCTCTCTAAATCCCCAAATCAAAACTCAATTACAACCCTGAGAATAAAAAGCTCAAGAATCATGGAATCTCATCGTCAAAATTCGGCACCGTTTGCTTTCACTGTGCTATCGATTGATCGGCATCTCCTCCCTTTTTTAACTCTGGCTTAAAACCCAAAAATTCCCAACAAGAATCAAACCCAAAAAAAAAACATGAATACTCGAATCTTGCTGCTGTGGCTGTTTCTGTGTATTGAAACCTCTTTGTTTGATCAATTGCTCAATTGAGGCTAGTTGTCGATTGTTGATCTTGCTAATTAATTTGCTTTCTTGATTGCTCAACAAAAAAATTTTCCTTAACCCGAAAAACTTCTCCCAACAATTGCTTTACTGTTTATCTTTCCACCCCTTCAAAAAAACTTTGCCCAAATTTCTTGTTTTTCAATGACCTCTGATTGTGAATTGCTACCGTCCAGCCTCCCTTGCTTGATTGTTCAAGGCTAATTGTTGTGCTTAATTTTGTTCCTGCCTCTACATTGATTATCAATTGCTATTGTGCTTAATTTTTGTGTTTTTTTCTATTGGAGTTAATGGCTTTAATGGAAAATGTTGACAGAAAGTGGATTTAACGGCACGTGTAAGCCACGGCCGTAATTTAGTTTTTTTTTGAACAAATTCGAAAACGTTATATTTTACATTAAACTAAATTAAAGTTGAGATCCTTAATTAAGCAACCGCCCAAACGTTTAATTCCAAATTGAGCATTTAGCATTTTTCTTTGTAGTCGTTTTATTTGGCATAAAAATTATGTTATGCACTATATTTATTGATTTCTTCTGTGTATTCTGGGGTGTGCTTGTCTTGGAAATTGATGTTAAATGCTTCTCGAAAGTTCTTTGTTTGTATTCCTCCCGTATAATATATGCCATTCAGAGAGATTGTTGTTTTAAACTCAGAATTCTTTTGCATTTACTTGAGTAAAATGTCTTTGCATGCTAGAAGAGACAAGTGAATGGTGATGTCAAAAATGGCAGTTGAAAATATGTTGAATTTAAAGTTTCTGGCAATTAGCTTTACTTGTTGTAGATTGTATATTTTCTGTGCTTTTATCTGCATAGACTTGCATCTACCAGTTAGCAGAGCACTATATAGCAGAAAGATATTATTTTAGTTAAAAGGATGGACTTAAATTCCAGAAAGCCACTTCTGAGAACTGCGAAAGGTAGATTGATAACAAGATGATATCTTATGAGGGAATTGTTGTTCCATGTAGAGGAACTCCAAATGGTTTTGGGCTACTAAAGATTTTATGTTACTAATGTCTAATGCAATGCGTTTAAACTTTAAATATTGAAATTGAACAATATTTCCAAGGAAAAGCATCTAAATGTCTGCTAAAGTTTAATTTTTCTAGATTGTTACCAGATTGAGAGTTTTGTTAGCTGCTCTTTCTGTCTCTCCTTTTTGTTTTGTAATCTCTATGAAGTTTAACATTTTGCTATAATTGGTTCTACAGCTGCACTGAGAGTACTGTCCTACTTGCCACTTCCCTACTCTGCTCTAAGTGGATTCTCGATAATTCCAACTCCATTGAGGGATGCTGTCTATGATTATGTTGCCAAGCGGCGTTATGACTGGTTTGGAAAGAGTGAAGACTGCCTAGTTTTGCAAGAGGACGAGATCTTGGAGCGTTTCATAGATAGAGAAGAAATGATGGCTCGTAATCAATGGAAGTTTTAACTCAGATTCCGTCCGATACAATTAAACAAGTTTATTTTTGGCAGATGTCCTTGGTTACAATATTTTCTCAGTTGGAGCTAAAGATAATATAGTAATCAATGTTACTAGTTAAATAAGATTCTTTCCAACTGATTGCAATAGATTACTAAGCTTTATTATCTCACCATATGGTCCAAACATTATATTGAATTTTGGCCAAAAAAACAATCTATATTGGACTTCACCATATTATTGAAGTTGGAAGTGTTCAGGCATCCGATCATTTAACTCAATAGGTGCTACATGATGGTTTTACTTGAAAATAAATAAGGTTTGAATCTCTTTTCCCCAACTAATAAAAGTTTTACTTGAAAATCAATAAGGTTTGAATCTGTTTTCCCCAACTAGTAAAAGTATATTTTTGAAGTGTTGATCACTCTTTCCACTACAAAATTACAGGACTAATTCCTACAAGGAGAAATCCTATCCAAAAGGAGAGCGATGATGGTATTCTTTTGTGAAAGGCCAAAGAAATGATCATTCTGCTCACTGCTGGGCTGCGGTGTCTCCAATTTAAGCTTAAAAGTTCCTTCAACGTAGCTCATGAGTTTAAGCTTGAAAGCTCCTTAACGTAGCTGATGAGTTTTGGCTTTCCCTAAACCACAATAGCTGTGGGATTTGGTCATGGCTTTGTTTTATACATTTTGTATCCCTCGATCATCTTCCCATCCTGCCCATTTGACTCGCAATGTAACAACTTTTCGGTGACGCAGAACGGGTCAAATGTAAAAAAAAAAAAAATTTACCCAAATGATATGATTGACAATCTTAAAAAAGCGAATATGCTTAAAATCATTTCTCTATTTTCAAGTTTATAACATTTTATTTCTTTAAAATTTTTTGAAGTTGCCAAAGTTGTTAAGTCAATAGGTAATAAGATTGTTTCATAAAACAGTTGTTCAATAAATAAATCTTTCACGAAATAGGTTTTTTCCCAAACAGTTGTTTACAGAATAGATTTTTCCAAAACAGCTGTTTACAAAATAGATCTTTCACATAATAGCCTTTTTATGGAATAATTGTTCACAGAACAATTCTTTCATGAAATAACTATTCACAAAATATCACCTTCACGAGTCAACTTTTTTTACAGATCAGATGTTTAAGAAACGATTATTTCATGTAATAACTTTTTCATGGAACAATTATTTATTAAATAATTATTCAAGAAATAATTATTTCACGAAATAACTATTTAAGAAACAATTTTTTCATAAAACAATATTTTTATAAAACAACTGTTTACGGATTAATTTATTCAAGAAATATCATCAACCTAACCAAAAACTTTCACAAAAAATTACTTTATTAGGAATTATTCTGCAAAAAAATTTAACTTCAAAGAAAAAGTAAAAATAATCTTAGAATATGATAAAGTTTTTAGATTAATTTTACTATTAAAATGTTTTGAAGAATTTGATTTTGTGAATCAAATATGATGATAATCAAAAGATATCTTCTGAATCATTCTCTGAAGTATAAATATTTTCCTTTATCTTTTAGGATAAATAGTAAATTTCTATGTTTATTATGCCCATCACCAAAAGCTAATTAAACTCTATTAGATAATACATGAACACATTTTATAATGATCAATTCCACCATTATTAACCATTATTCATATTCAATACTTATGTTACGTAACTATATATAAAAGCTCCCACAACTTATTAAAGAGGCTTTTGTAGCTGAACAGATTTATCACAACTTCCTCTCAAATTCTCTCTGCAATTTCTTCTTTCCTAAAATCTTGTTCTCAACATTATTCTCTCTTGTACTTAGCTTTATTTCCCCATCTACCGTCTCCTGCCGCTGCACTATACTTCAGAAACTGCTCCGATCTTTTTCTTGACCGTCCTCTGACACATTCCATTCTACTTAATTGCTTAGTTTCCTCACTTCACCAAAGAACCCCTTTACAAAAAGCAAGAAGAGGGTGCATTTGACACTTCAAGAATTCATGGTGGCAGAAGGAACAGGTATGGCATATGATTGCTTGCACTGCATTTTATGTATGGAGCTGCTTGGGATATGCTAAAAAATAACACAGTCCAGGAACAATAATTGTTGTGAAAGATAAAGGGGATGAATTGTTTATTGTTCAAATTTGTGAAGCAGAGACAACGAGATGATTTTCAAAACCGTTTCTACTTGAAATCAACAGCTTCTTCTGATTAATCTAGTTTAGAAAAAGTGTCAATAGATCATATTATCATTGTGAAGTTCTGACACGATGCTTCCTCCAAAACTATCATAACAAAATTGGCTCAGAAGTCAATTTACACTTACCAAGTTTTCAAATAAAAAATGACTTCTCAGTTTCACGGGGAAGCAGAGTAAGAATAGCCGAACTACCTCTAACAACATACATTAAAAATGTTAAATTACATTCCAAATATAAGGAGGCTTTTTGCTTTTCTATCAATCGGAACTGTTCCATTCTTTCCAGTCCTTGTCTACATGATCCTGAGCCCATTTGACGGCAGCACGGGCAGCTTGCGGTCCTCCAGGCAGCCCCCGCTCATTTAAAGTATCAGCCATGTCGATAAAAGGTATAACCAAGAGCGTCCCAGGACCACCATATTCAGCGTGTAAGAAAGTACTAAATATCTGTTCAGAATAATCGGAAGTAACATAGTTGAGTGCTTGTATAATTAGATATATCTCAACAGTATAGAAAACGTACATCAGCAAAAACATGACTGAATCATCTGAAGCCCCAGAGCATGCTCAGGAAGAAAAGGCTTGTTATAGACAATATGGCAGCAGACCCAAAGATAAACAAAATGTTTATTGCATACCAATTAGAAATACCCGTTTAGTATATTGTGCTTTGCCATACAGGAAAAAAAAGGCTTGTCTTCCATTTTTTCTACCATCAGTCTCAGATGAAAGCAGCAAAGACTAACATGAGGCATGTTCGTTCATACTTCATTCCTCCATGAATAAACTATTCAATTTCTTTCAACTCTTCCGACTACATTCCAAGTTTTTTTCTTTAAGTATGTATCTATGTGAAAAATGACACAATTATCTCTATTTTGAGAATTCTTCTCAATGAAGGACAAACAGCACAGATGTTACTACTGCTCTGACCCTTGTACGGCCAACATCCAGGAGGTTCTCCTTTCATTGTCCATGGCATACCCAGAGTTTGCCATCCTAAGGTGATTGTAAGCAAGTTTAGAATTTAATAGAATAGTGACTACTAGACTCATTCAAATTATCAAGCTATCCGGCTGTTCTTCCATGCATACAAACATGAGGTGACCTGGGCATTATGCACATAAGATAGTTGTTTGATTTCTTGCGATCTAATATACACCAAATAGTTCAGGACACGCATATTGTAGGATCCATATGAAACAACGTGTTTTTTCGATGCATATCAGCCACTGCTAGGATTAACTGACTGTTTTTTTTTTTTTTGGTGGACAATTGATTACCTATGATTCAATGCATTATAGGTGATCCAAGCGTTACCATACCGGCTATGAGACGAATGAATATGGAAAGAAAGTCCAAACATTGTAATGATGCTCAGCTTATGTTGCACCATTTCTACTAAAACGTTAGGTTTTTCTGAAGCTTAAATGATGTTTTTGTTTTCCAAGAAAACCACAGAATTAGACCAATTAGAACTAATATAAACAGGCTATGGAAAACCAGACCTTTCGCATTCACTATCCTCTCATTTGAAGTTCAAACTTCTGACAAAATTGTTGTTTTAGTTTATTTAACAAGTGCTCTTCATTAAAATTATGACCTTTGAGTTTGTGAATGGGATATTGTGAAATAACATATATTCAGTCAACCAGCAATCTTCAATTCTCACCCAAACAATTGTACGGCGGACCAACCATCTAAATAAGCGAAAAGGCCAACAAATTTTCTAGCAAAACTGAAAGGCAGCTACCTCAGTGCAGATTCCTACAACTTCTTCAACCGAGTCCCCATAAATATCCTTCTTGGACAGTTTCTTCAGCAGATGCGTTCTAAACTTATCCGTTTCCTGACCCCCCCAAGAAAAAAGAGAATTTTCCGTCAACATAATTCATACAAAGATATTGGAGGCATAAATACGCAAGAGTAAGAAAAGGGTACTTACAGCATCAGCGAATTCGGGAATTGGATCAGGGAATTTGTACTCAGCAGCTTTGCAAATGAAGTTGGTGGATGAGAAAGAGAGCAAAAGAGGTGTTGGGTAAGTGGAAGAGTTCTTTAGTGTGATGACAGTGGAGTTTTTGAATGGAAAGGAAAGTGAATACCGAGTAAACGGAGAAGAATAAGAAGAAGAAGAAGAAAAGTTCGTAAGGAAGGAAAGGATGGGGAGTGGAGGAAGAAGGAAATGAGGGAAGTGGGTCAAGCGTGGAAGCGAGAAGAGCCTTGCTCCATGAACCCATCTCTTTGTGCCTCCTTATCTTCTATTCTTCTTCTGTAGCGAATGGGGTTTGTCGTTCTCTCTAAAAACTCCTACCCTTTTAAATGGTTTAAAAATAGTGACTTGGCCTTTAATCAATTTGATACTTAGAATTAAAATTCGAATCTAAAACTTTCGTTTAGTCAAATTTTCTGATACTTCAATAAAAAAATATATAAAAAAATATAAATTTGTCAGTTTATATATATTATGTTTATTTTGTTTTAAATGTATATAAAATATAAAAATTATCATTTCATAATTTTTGTTTACAAATCAAATATAAAATACATTTTTTTTATCAACATAATACAAATTTTATTAAAATTGTTTTAATATAAAAATAATAAACTATATTACTTTAATTAATTAATTAATTTTTTTTGTGTTATATTTAAAATTATTAAGTCATTAAATCACGAAAATAATTTTAAATTAAAATAAATTTTTTAGAATAATTTAAATACATTTAATAGCAGTGCCAATTTTGCATGATAGAAAGGTACTTAGAAACTATGAAAGCTTTTCATTTTCTGTAGATGTCATATGACTTTTCAAATTTAAGATTGCTTTATCTTAGAAATGAAATTTCTAATTTAACATTGTTGGTAAGGAAAAAAAAAAAGACTCGGGAGTTATGTCTCGCTTTGATTTATGTCAAAACAATTAAGTATATCCAAGTTGTGTTTTATGTTTTTTTTTTCCATGCTGAGAAACCGATTAAAGATTGTAAAGTTTGTAATTTGCAAAGCATTATGGGTTATTGGGTTCTCTGAGAAATTGACAACAAGGCAACAACCATTTTCTGCAATTTTCTTTATTTTCACACGAAATTACTACCATTTACACGGGATTATATGTACACTGACAGCATATATTTGTTAATTTAGCAAAAACGTGACAGCAAGACATGACACTCTTTTATCATCCTTGTAACCAAAAACCTCAAAAATTGGGGCAGCATTAAGCTCCACAGTAGTGCTTTGAAGCGTATCATGTATCACAAGTTCAAGCAACTGTCTTTTTCACAAATTCCTTTCATAAGTTTCAAGCCATGGAAATCCCAGAAAATCAAACACCTCTTTCTCCGTCTCCAATTTCAAGCTTGTGGTACCTCTTGCACCCTACAAAACAACTCACACTAATTGATCCATAAATAGAGGTTTTGCTAAAGACTACATGCTGCGAAACCAATAAATTACCCGTTTACTGCCTGAACCATGAGTAGCTGGAAACAGCCCTGTATCATCAAGTCGGTATCCTTTAGATTCCGCTAGCAGTCTCAACCTGCACTAAAGGATCAATGTCAGTGTCTACATGTATTTGTTCCATAGCCACAGAGACATACAGTTCATATTCGCAGTCAAGAAACAAACAAAGAAAATACAGGCAAACTATAACTCATCAATCCTCAACAATGCCATAAAGAAATTCATCCATTGCATAAATAGTAAAATAAATACGGTTCATTTAGATTTGTTAATGAATTGGTTCTCAAAAACTTTTGTCAGCTACATTTGGAAAATGATAATTTTGTAATGAAGATAGATATAAAAGACAGGTACAATAAAGAGGTTTCAGGTAAATTGTCCAAGGGATCTTATGGACAACTCCTTTCTGATAATTTCTTGGTTAGACTTATTCAACAATCTAAAAAAGCACCTTACTATATTATTGAATCAGATTCTTTCAATAGCATCCGTTGACAACAACACAATCACTATATATATATATACACTACTATCAAATTACCATCCATCAGCTAGCAACACGATTAAACTGAAAAGTAACTTGTAACATCCCAACAACAACTATTATATCATACATGTATTGCACAAATTCCATGTTCACATGCAAACTTGCAACATTAACACAATGAACATGCTGAAAGCTGCAAAACTAATGATATGCAAATCTTCATACTAATTGTATAATTTGGTAATTAATGAACATACCTTCTATTTAGCACGTCATTGCCTGTCCATGCTATTAACCCAAACGCATATATGTCCCTTGGATATACCTACAAAATAGAAGTAGCATACAAGCAAATTAATCACATACAACGTGACCTGCAACTTATCACTCCAGTAAGAAGATAAAGTTAAGTGTTTCATAACCTGAGAATGTCACATCAGGTGTTAAATAGAATAGAAAGGAACATAAAACATGCTCAATAAGGATGTGTTTATAACATTACAATAAAACGATAAAGAACAGGTTGCTGATAACCATCTTGTCCCCTTTATTTTTCTCATGATACAATATTCTAATTACAAGCTAAAAATCATCAAGTTACCTTAAAGTCTATGCGATGCCTAAGCTCTCGTCCAGGATAAGTGCAAAGACCAAAATACGTGTCAACACCTTGATCAGTACCCTATTCACATAACATAGAAAAGTAAAGGTAATGCAATGATAATAGAGAAACAATAAGAGCAGGAATCAAGAAAATTCAATACAAATGCATCTTACAGGTTGGACATCAAGTATTTAGTAGTATAATCAAGCAATCAGAAAAGGTTGAGTAATGATGGAGAAGAAAATGGTTACATACTCTTCTAGTCTCTACCAAATTACAGAATTAGATACACAAGGAAGGCAAATAAGCAACTTAAAATGACCACCTCAGTCTTCAACAAAGTCAAGTTAGCTCATTCGCAATTACTGTTCATAGAAAGTACCAAGTCCAAAACTATTCTCCTTCAGCATTTCCTTTAAGATTTATTCTCATCAATCCGTGCACAACTAAACAAAGTTCAGAACAGAGCATTTAACAACCAACACATGAACTCGGCTACCTATTAATTGTTAATTCTACGTGTCTTATAAGAATAGGTAGTATGTTCGCCATTAAACACTATTAAAAGACTATAAAACAGCACTTTAATCTTTCACTAACCAAACAACACAAAACTCTTTGCCAATGTTGCTTAGTTGATGCATGTTCTTCTTCTATGCTACTGAAGAAAATGACAAGCCTTCAGTTGTAAGTATATATATCATCCCACAATTTATAACCACCCTCATCATCACTATGGCATGAGCAAAAACAAGCAAGAGAGCAATCATTTACCTCTTCACTGTGGGTACTGAAAATCAAATCTTCTCTTAAAAGCTTCATCTCTTTTAAACGCTTGACATATTTTTGCAGAAAACCTTTATGGCTGAAATCATAGAGCAATTAATCCCATTTGTAGAAACTAATACCATAAATTGTTAAGCAGAAAGCAGGAAGACCACAACAGGTGATATAACGCAAACACATAAATGAGTGTGATGTGAAATTCCATTCAAAATTGATATATATTAGAAGGAAACATCTTAGGAAACTGAAGAATGAAGCTACAAACTAGAAATCAAACAAAGAAAATAGTTGTGCTTCTTAATAGGCACCATAACATAAAGGGTTTATCTTATCCTGCCTCACGACTAGATGTTTTATGAACACGGAGCCTTCGTGACACAACCCATCTATCAGCTACCAAGATCTACTTGATAATAAAAGAAAGTACCAAGCAATGATAGATCAAAAAAAAAAAAAATGCTGGGGTTTTACTTTATAGTTAATTACTGATATCAACATCTTAAACATGAAATGCTCTACAGCTTTTATTTTTTGTTCTATGATAAGCAGAATACAATGTACAAGCAGATAAGCAAAGTAAGATAAGCTGATCCCTTTCAGATAAAGAGGTATGCACGAAACTGAATAACTAGGAAAAATGGGTCAGAAACCAAAGAAAGAAATGGATTTTAAACCTTTTTCCATCTGGATGTGTGATTATGATGTCTAAATCTCCACAGGAAGCTTTTCCACGTCTATATGATCCCCCACATACAACAACCACCTTCAAGAGAAATATCAGAAAAAATTAGTGTAGGGATCCACAAATACATAATTAAGCCAAGTTATGGCTGTGAAACATATAACTTGATACATATCAAGTCAAATAACAGCAGGTCCGATTGCATAATAAACCAGTGTCTAGAAGGTTCAAACACCAGTAAACACTAATAATATCTGCTCTGGGTCAGTCCTAGCAGAACCCTACTCCTTAATTCCAATCCCACAAAGGAAAATGCTACATTTGCAACTGCTAGAATTCCCTTTGACCTTTGGCTCTGGATCTCATAGTTCATTTCGCTCTCAACAAGCGGACCCAGGATGAAGGAAGGGATTTTAATCCTATAGCCTACCTCTTCTTAAGTTTTTCCTTTCGAATAAAACTTACAATGAAGGTAGCAATAAGCTTGTAAGTTAAGCCATAGATTATAGGGCTTCACTAAAGGGATGAAATGGTCATACCACTTTTGGGACATGATATGCACCACTAGAGGCTGTTTTCCCAAAAGGAGTTTTATTTGCAACTAATGGAATACCTCTTTTAAGCGTGAACTAAAAAAACTCCAATAATAAAAATTACTTAATATGTATTAGTAGGTCAAATTCATAAATACACTGGGGTTCACTATGGGAAACAAAAACTCAAAAAACACTAACATTTAAGCTACAATATAATTATATGCTATGTGCCTTATGAATTTCTCTTGTGCTGGGCAACCAAGTTACCGGTACCTTAGAATAGTATAACTGAAATAATAGCCAACTGGACCATTATACCAGAATGTAATTCACAAATGAATAATTGACAAAACAACTTTAGTTCTCATTTACCATATAATGGTCAAAGCATCCGTATATCAAGTTCTATTATTATTAATTGCATATTTTTCTTTTATGTTAGTCTTTTTATTGCAGAGAGGAAAAAAAGTAGAAAAGGATGGGAAATCAGTTTAATCTGTGAGACATATACATTATATGTCCAACTCATAATGGCACACTATTAAAACCTATTGGGAAGCAGAATATTATCTTCATCACATATAAAGTTTAAAGTATTCTTTTATTCTAGTTCAGTCTAAACTTTAGGTGCTCACCCCAGACACAATATCTTCTGCAACTTTCTGTAGAAGAGATTCCATCTCTTGAACCTATGCAACCAAAAACACACCAAACATTTCCATAAAAAGAAGGCTGAAAATTTTCACTTAGGAAAATCCCAGGCAGGAACACAGTAGTCAGACCTCATTCCGTGGAATCCTTGTTTTAATATCATCAAAGTATTTCAACCCCAGCTTTTGAACATTTGTTAAAGAATTGTCACTCTTCAGGTCATCCAATGCACGGTGTCCTTTCTCATAAAATTTCAGTGCTGTGGCTGGACCAATTCCCCATACTTCCCCAAATAAACTTATTGTCCTTACCTGCCAAAGATTGAAAGAAAATGTTGAAATATAGATAAAAGAATATTAGCAAAGCCTTTGCTTTACCATTAAACTTACTACCAAATATATGTGTGTGTGTGTGCGTGTGTGTGAGTCTATATATATATATATATAATAGCTCAATTTCCTAGTTCCTTTTTCTTTTCCCTAAGTAGATTGTGTGTTTATCCAGCAGCCTGCAAAGAGCTCACTGGCATTCTAAAAAAATACTAGATGATGCCTTTTCTCAAACTAGTAATAATGACACTCCAAAAACCACTAAAAAACCAAAGGCAGAAGAGTTAGTCACATCATATGGCCTCTATATTTGCATTCTAAACTTCATTTTAAAGATGCTTTATGATCAAAGGAGAAATTTAAAGCATGCGGAGAAAAGATGATTATGAATAGGAATTAAATCTACAATCTTGGTGAAAGAAAACTTCTTTTTGTAACAAATCAGTCCAAATAACAGAAAAAAGAAAAGGTAGTCCAAATTCAATAGAAAAAGAGTCTTTATCTTACTTTCTCATCAGTTTCAAAGTGCTCCAACTTGGATAACTTTCCAGTAGTCACTATCTCCTGAATCTGCATAAATATTCCAAAGGCCCTGATAAATTTTAGAAGACTAAAAGTTCTGTCCATGTTTAGAAGACTCACTTAGAATGTACATTTTCTGGTAATCTATATTACTCCCTCTATCTCAAATTACTGTCCTTATTTGACATTTTAAAGTCAAATCTTTTCATTTTCATGTCTTGATTGGATGCAGATAGAAGAAAGAACTACACATGTCAGCAACATTAATGAATTGCTTCCTATTCTAATTTATCTTAAGCAAAAGCTTAAATTTGAAACTTTAGACGATTCAACCAAACTAGGCAACAAATGCCACATGTAGAATTTCAAACACAAACATGTTTACTTACATGATCTTGCAGTGACTTTCCAATTCCAGGCAGATTTTTGACCTGATCTGCACTTTCAATTTTAAAGGGCAACTTCTCAACAACTGCAATAGCCTTGTAGTAGCTAAATGATCTGCGGTCATCACCCAGTGCTTTTGGTAGAAATTAACCATATCAGATCAGACCCCAGAAAGAAATAAGTGCAATTGTTAGTAAACTAGCAATTATGTATATTTGAGGTAAAACTAAGTCTCACCTCTATATATGTTGATAAGTTTCCCAAATATCTCCGTAATGTCCTTGTTTAAATCTGGTGGACTGTACGGCAAAGATGATGTTGGTGTGCCAACCTTGTTACAAAACAGAGTATAACTCTATAAGCATTAGCAGCATGAAGACTTAAAAGAATACATCTTGCTTGTAAGATCCTTTTTAAGGCTACTAATTACATTAAGCACAACAAAATGATGGACAAAATAGAAAATTTTCATGTGGTCTGACACTTGAATAAGGAACTCACATCCTTATCTAGAGTACTAGGGATTTCAGGACCACTAGTGACGGAGCTGGGGGAGTTGGGTTCATTATTTGACAACCCTGATGCAGTGTTAGTTTCTATATCTCCTTTACTTTCTTCATTAGTGTGTTTTATCTCCTCAGGTGAGGATTTGATCCTTTTGCAGTGTGATTGTTCACCATGGATGGAAGAATTTCTGTTGGCTGCTTCAAGTTTCGGATTCTTGTCAGGTACATCCTCCCCTTCTGGATCCACTTTCAGAATGTACAAATGCTCAGAAACCTTTTCCCCAGCTGCCAAGCTGTCCTCCAACCACTGATAGAGGAGAACATGCTGTGACAAGAAGTAATTGCAAAACCACTTATACTCCAGAGATTAATCTCAACATAAACACCCGAAATTGAAATGGTTTTACAATTCTTGGTACAAATTAAATTCAGATATTGACAAAATGGATGAATATAAATGAATTATTCAAACAATAATCAGAAGAAAAGTAGCAATTTGGCCCTAGCAAAAGCAAAAGTCATAATTTTTACAGCAAGTCAGAAACAACAAAGTATTTCCAATATTTCATTAAAATGCCATCAAATTAAAACATGAAAGAAAGTTAAAAAAAAAAAAAGAGGGTAAAGAGGACTGACTCCTTTGAAGCGAGCCAATTGGTCCTTATCGACGTGGTGAAAAAGAGCATCTGAGCTCATAGCAAAAACATGACTCACTTTTTTGGACAAGTGAGTCTCAATCTTAGCTCCCATTTGCTCCAGTTTTTGCTTCCAAATCTATTATTCACCCGCCAAAAGAAACAAAAAAAAAAAAAATTGATTCAAGTAAATGAGAGGTTATGGTATTGGAGAGTGGAAAGTGGAAAGACCTGTAAACGACGAGACTGGACGCTGTTTTCGATTAAGAAAACCACCATACCGGCGAACATTCCCTGTGGATCGGCGGAAGGAGCCTTGTTTTTGGTTCGCTTTGGCGCCATTTTTTCTTCTGGTTGTTTCAGCCAGCTTCTGTTCCAAGCCTTGAGCAGAGAGGACTTTTTTTTTTTGGTTATGTGACCGAATGAGGGGCCGGGGCCCGGAGGTTGAAGTGCGCACAAAGACATTGAAACTTTGACCTCTGACTGGCTGTAAATCGGCTCCATTGACTGACACGTTAAAACGATGGAGGTCCGTTAGGCCATGAGGCATGTTCTTTTACCACGTAAGCAAACAAAAGTACAATTCAGTTAATCAAAGTTCAAATAAGTTTACAAGTTGGGTACTCGGGTCGGATGTAGTGCTCACCATTCGTGCTATAGCCTAGAGGTTACTGATATTTTCGTGCAAAATTTTAATAATATACAATAATAATTATCATTATTATTTGATACATTATCATTAAAATTTTTTAATTTCATAAAAAAATTAAAAATTAACATATATATTTTTAATTATTTTTTATTTTTTGATATATTAATATTTATTGTATTATTAATCTCATTTATAAAATTTAAGAACATCATTATAAATGAATTTTTTATTTTTTTATTAAATATTATCTTTGATATAAAAATAATTATGGAAGAAAAAAATTGTTTGGACTACTTTGTCTTTGAAATAAAGAATGAACAAAACGAGATTTAAAAATTCAAAATTTATTTTTTTTGGCGAATAGGATTAAAGATATTCATATTTTGTTTTGGTTTAGAAATTAAAAAAAATGAAAATTTTATTTTCTAAATATTTTTATAATAATCGAATTTCCATTGACAAAAAAATTCTTCTCTATGCCAATTGACAGGATTTTAGCACTACCTGTTTATCATGCGAAACTTCATAGCAAAACGACCTGTCGTTTAGAAACGGGGCTTCCACACTGTTTGAAAAAAGATTAAAAGAGCGCAAGATGACGCCAATTGGGAGGGCTTTTGTCTGCTTAAACCCTAAACCCTATCTTCTTCTCTTGCCCAATCAGAGTTTCAGTTTAGGGTTTCGAAATCCAAAAAAAAAAAAGAGACAATGATTCTATGCGGTTCAACTTCAACGCTCCATTTCTACAGTTTATCAACTACCCCAAAACTCCTCTCTCATTTCAGCCACTGCTCTTTTCTCTCTACTTCTTCGCCATTTGCTCGAATCTGTTTAATTAGGCTGAATCAATCCTATGGGCGCCGAATCAGGGCCTTCAGTGGCGCTACTGTTGCTGTCTCTGTTCCAAAGAAAACTGGGAGGGATACCTTCTTGGCTGAAGAGAGTGTTTCATGGAAGTCTTTAGGCTTATCTGATAGGATCTCTCAGGCCCTCTCTAATGCCGGTTTCGACAGACCCTCCCTCGTTCAGGTGCTTTCACTTCTTCTTTGGATGAATTCATATGCATTTTTTGTAGTTTTATTTAACCACCGTTTCTTGTTACTTTTTGCTACTCAAATCTTTTTTGTTTAATTAGAAATGTGCGACTTGGATACATAATACAAAACTAAATGCTGTTCTTTTAATAATTAATAACTAAAATTGTAGGAGTAATACTTTTTGAAGAACAAAATTCATGATGTTTACTTTAGAATTGACGTGGCCCTTTAGTCATTTGTTTATGTTTAATCAATAATAAATCTGTTTTCTGTAATTTAATACTAAAAGCAAAGAGCAAAATCAGCAACCAATAGAACAAAAAATTTACCTATTTTTAATCATTCAAAAGATATTACCAAAGCAACAGGCGGATGCATATTTCAAGTAGTACGCATCATTCTGAATTCAAGATGGATTTTGATTAGATTGTGGTCAACAGTCGGTTTATCTACCTCAATTTTTATATTATCCTTCCATCATGTGTGGTTGCCATTAATGGGTTTTTGATGTTTAGTGAAGAAATTTCCTGTATGCATTGTAGGCTGCCTGTGTGCCATCTATACTCTCCAGAAAAGATGTGGTAATTGCGGCCGAAACTGGTAGTGGTAAAACACATGGTTATCTAGTTCCCCTGATTGATAAGCTCTGTAGTGCTCAGCATGATGGGGATAATGATTCCAAGCAAGCATCTGCTTCTTCGCGTAGTTTTTCTGTTGTTCTTTGCCCAAATGTATTGCTTTGCGAACAAGTGGTTCGAATGGCTAATGGTCTTTCTGACAATAATGGTGAACCACTTCTCAGAGTCGCAGCAGTCTGTGGTCGACAGGTATTTTTGTGAATAACCTCATATATCTATTTGGCATTGGCAACATTTATGGTTTTCAATGTTATTGGGATTTGGAAGGGTGCTTTTGAATTTGGTCAGACGCATGTATATATTTTGTGTTGCTCTTTTTATATTGATCATAATAAGTCCTTGACTACAGGGGTGGCCGGTGAACAAACCTGATATTATTGTGTCAACACCAGTTGCTCTTCTGAACAATATAGACCCCAAAAAAAACCATGGTTTGGATTTCATTCGTGGTGTAAAGTACGTGGTATGTTTCCTTATCCATGACTTTATATTTTCATTGGTTATTTGAGATACCAGAAAGTATTTTTGATTTTTTATTTACAATAATTGGCAGGTTTTTGATGAAGCAGATATGCTTCTATGTGGGGGCTTTCAGAATCATGTTATCCGTCTTATACACATGCTCCGTTTTGATGAAAAGCTATTGTCTCGGATGAATAAATCTGGATCTGAGAACCCTGTAGAACTGAATTCTGATTCTCTATCACAATTTGACTTTGAGGGTGAGGAAGACATACAAAATGAATCCATCTCTGAATCAGAGGAAATTTCTGAGGATGATGTTGATGCTGAGGACTTGACAGAAAAAACTAAAACTTTGAATGTCAAGAAAAAGGACTGGAGGAGAGTGAGAAAAAATTTTGAACGCAGTAAGCAGTACATATTTGTTGCAGCTACCCTTCCAGATAATGGAAAGAAAACTGCGGGTGCAGTATTGAAAAAGATGTTTCCAGATGCCAACTGGGTTAGTGGAAACTACCTCCATTATCACAACCCTAGGTGCCAAATTCTTTTACACCTTTCCTTTTCTTTTTTTTCCCCCCTCTTCCATGGATAAATGGTGCTGCATTTGGTTATGGTTATTAGAATTGTTTAGAGGCTAAGGTGTGTACATCTCTTTGCTGATACTTTACTGTTTTGAGCTTTTCGCTGCTCATGGTGATCAGTTTTGTTCCAAATCATCTATGCTTGTCATGAATAAGGAGAACACTTGGAGATTTCAGATATCATGTTTCTTATGCATGGAGATTTAGAATATGTTAAGAACTCTTTATATCTGGATACATCTTTTGATCATAGATGGCTATACTGATTTTTCTGACAGATTTACGCTGAATACAGTTCTGTTGTTGAAAGTCCAATCATAGAGTGAAACCTCTATAATCATTTAAAAGAAAATATTTATTTTGCTTTTCTCTGTTTATGTTTTAAAGGCTTCTTACGGTTTGATCTTGATTGCCAACAAGATCATTTAATTAGCTTTGCACTCAGCTAATGCTGATAATCCCAATGATTGATATATAGGTGAAGCAAACTCCTAATGTTATATGTTTCTTTGATCTGTTGTAGTCTGTAATTGTCAACATTGATAGAGATGCCTCTTAGTTGATTATCATTTCATACCAACTCTACCTGTTCCATCTGTTTGGTGCATGGAGATGGCTAATTCTGAACCACTACAAAAGTATAATTACTTATGCGGTAACTTGACTAGTTTTAATTAGATATATCATTTATGCACATCATAATAGCTTTTATATGAATTTCGGAATAATAACTGTGGAGGATATTTCTCTCTTTGTTGTGTGTGTTTTTTACTTATTTGTTTATTTATTTTTTGAGGGAAGGGCTTGGAGGTATAGAAATTTCAGGTGGAGTGCTGAAAAAATTAAGTCTTACATAACTTATTAGGTCACTTGTTGTGTGCTTGCTTGTGATTCTTATAATAAAAGTTCAAGACAACTTGTTAATTTATCTGTTTTGGGGAAGAAAATGCAGAACCAATTAATCGTTAAGGATCCAAGATCTTGTGGTTTGATAAGTTCCATTAAAGCTAGTCTTATGGAGCCCAATCTCTTCACAATTGCTATGTTCTGTGGCATGAATTTTAATTTCCATACACCTTTGTCATGTATATGCCATGTGTAACAAATCATTATTTCAATCCCCTAAGTTCCATTGTCTTCAATGCCAACTTTTAGCTTTTTGGTAATTTTTGTTTCTTTTCCAATTTCAGGTTGAAGGAGAAATGGATTGAAGTGACGATTGACACACAGGTTGATGCACTAATAGAGGCTGTAAAGCAATTTAACTCAAAAGCTTTAGATCATGGTGCTGATGTTAGTCGAACCATGGTGTTTGGAAACACTGTTGAGGCTGTTCTAGCGGTGGCAAATATACTCCAGAGGGCCGGGATTGAGTGTTACCGTTACCACAAGGACCTCTCTTTGGAAGAGCGTGCCGAGACCTTAGATGATTTCCGAAAGAAAGGTGGAATTTTTGTGTGCACAGATGCTGCTGCACGTGGTGTTGACATTCCAAATGTGTCTCATGTCATCCAGGTGATTCATTTTTACTAAATCAATTTTATAGTGGCAAAAGTTATGCTCATGATAAATGGATAAATCTTTCAAAATGTGGCTCCTTTGATGTGTACAAGAAACAGGAATCAAGAATAAACTGTTTAACAATAATAATTAAAGTGACTGGAGAATAATTTCACTAAAGCTAAGTAGCTAACAACTGATATAGGTTTTGTAAAATAAAAGATTGATAAAAAAATTTCACTTTTCATTCTTAAGTTTTGGTTTACCTAAGCAGGTTCCTAAATGGAGTGATCTTGCTGCATTCCTGACTTTGGCAACTTTCCTTTTTCCAATTCTCAATAAACTAACACACCTGTTCTTTCCTGGTTAGACATTCTGAACCAGATAATGCCAACAAAAATCTAAATGTAAATAAACATGCATGTATGTCATATGAGAGTAAGCAATGCCAAAAATATAAATTTGAAGCAGTCTGGTAAATTGGAAGATGAGGATGGAAAACATATACTTCTGTCCAACACCTATGAGGAATGATATAGACCATGAGAAAAGTCATTTACATATATAAATAGTGCTGGGGAATAATCTATGAGCCAAGGATCTATATTCTTGAACTCTTGATGCATAACACATCATAAATTTTTTCCTTCTGCTGTTGCTTGACTGTAGCTCTGATATTGTTACAAGTTTATGACTAGAAAATTATCTAAATTATTTAGTGAAGCTAATTATCTGAAGTATTGAGTTCTTTCAGGCAGACTTTGCCACTTCTGCAGTAGATTTCTTGCATAGGGTTGGTCGCACAGCACGGGCTGGTCAATTTGGAGTTGTTACCAGCCTCTACACTGAATCCAACCGGGACCTTGTTAATGCAATTCAAAAAGCTGAGAAGCTGGGTCAGCCTGTGGTAATTCCAAAAGCTTGCAGTTTCCGTTTATCTAAGTTGACAGTTCTACACTCCTTAATCCCAGATGGAGGAGAGAATAATCCTCCATTGGTTCCCCTCTCCAGTATTCTCTTTCCTTTTTTTTCGCTGAATAAATGATAAAGGGAGTGATTCAATGATTAAGAAGTCTTAGATTGTTGTTATATAAATAAATTCCATATGCTTGTGTATTGGTTGATGTGTTGCACTTTCTTGAGCAATGACAAATGTTTTTGGTTGGCTACAGGAAGCGGCATTTAGCAGGAAAAGAAGTTTCCGAAACAAGCTTAAGAAGAGAGGTAGAGTTAATTTTTGGAATATAATTGCCATATTTTTTCTTTTCTTTGGCAAATATTTACAAAAAATTTAACATTATATGTTGTATACTAAATTTCAAAATATTGATATTATTGTCTTATTTTAGCAGGTTCAAACAAAGCTGAAGATATATCAAAAACTGAATTGATGGTGTAAGAAACATGGTATGTAAAGTAGAATAGATAGCGATTGATCTATTAAATTATTCTGCTCGGTTAGATTGTAGCCTTATCAACTAAGTGAATTATGGTTCCTTTGAATTATAGTATTAAATATTTTAGTAAATACATGCAATATTCAAGAGATCTCCTCGTCCTGCCCTTCCCCCCCTCTCTCTGCCCAAACACGTGCGAACAGAATTGAAAAAAAGGAATAGAAGGCCAAACATGTTGTCTTCTCTGTTTCAATCAAGATTACCGCACTGTCTCTTGCTCTCAAATTTTGTCAATTTATCTTCTTGTTGAGCATTTGTGTTTAGCTTGTTGGATGGAAAAGATAAGGCAAAATTTGTCCAATACTAAGTTGACGTTCTTCCTGAAAGCCTGTGTGACATGGATCCAGCCGTTCCTATTGATTTCAATCCCATCCGTTCCATAATTTTGTCCACCAAACATGGTCCCAAGGGACAAAAATCAGTTTTCACTTTTCATTTGATGCTGGAAAGAATGTAGTTCTTTTGGTATAGCATTCTCATCTATCTTCCGTAGCTACATTGGAACTTTACTTTAGTTGGCTCGTAATTGCACTGTGTCAAGGTTCCAAAACCCAAATTCATTGGGGGGAAAAGACGGTAGAGTAGCCATTGGAGTTTGGATGAGCTTTCTTCTTTTCTCTATCTAGAATGACCCTACTTACGTCAGAAAAGCTTCGTTTGACATGTCCACTAGCAGAGGAATAGCTGCGATCCTTCAAGTAGTTGGAGGTGCAGCTGACAAACATAATAATTCACTAAAAAAAAAAAAAACATTGGCTGGCTAAGAAAGACATAAATCGGAACAAAAGCATTTCCTGGGAATTAATCTGGCTTTTGTCCAGTCCAGGCTAGGCTGTCGTTGGAGCTTTGGTTGTAGCCTGCCCTTTTTAGATAGCTTAGCCTGAGACTAATAAATGACGATCAAAGGCATTTGTTTAACAAATCAATGAAAGAAACAAATGAAAATAATTTTTTAAGGAGTTTTTGAATTTTGTTCACTATATATATATATATTGATAAAAACAAGTTTATTTATGTTAAATTTAATGAATTTATAAAAAATTATATTTTTTGAATATAAGAAATAAAAAATACATTTTTTTTTTATCATTTGAAAAAGATAAATTTCAAAACGCTTCCCGAAACTAAAAAATCAACATCACAGTACTTTTCCCACCAGAATAATGTAGAAACTAAGAAAGCTAACACAATTGTATAAAAAAATGATTGTATTAACAATCTGATTTTTTTTTTCTTTCATATATATAATAACGGACAAACAAAAAGCAAATTAGAGGATCCCAAGGTACATATAATCCATGCACTCTCAAATATCAAAGTCAATAACTGATCTTCAACCCCAGGGAAATCAACTTGCACAATATTGATTATTTTGTTTAACAATCGCCATTCAAGCTCTTATAAGAAACCATCAAATGTTCCACAAACTCTTTAATATACTCATATGAGCTCCCTCCTTCACTGATTGCTTTCTTACATGATTCCCTCCATTTGTTAGCGTTTTTCTTAATCTTTTTGCTTTTCTCCCCTTCCATTACTTCCTTGAGACACTTCATCAGTTCTTCTTTCCTCACAACTCCATTCTCATCCTCTTTGGCCCTAACTCCTACCTCCCATATCTCTTCCACAAACTTTGCATCGGTAAATTGATCGGTCCATTGGGGCATACAGATCATTGGCACGCCAAGGCTTAGCCCTTCCAGGGTTGAGTTCCACCCACAGTGTGTCACAAAGCAACCTACGGCTGGATGTGCCAACGTTTCTAGTTGGTTACACCATGTTACGGCCATGCCCTTTTCTTTTGTTGAGTCTAGGAACAATTTCGGCAATTTTTTCCGTTCTGACTCTCTCACAACCCACAGGAAATGCAAATTGCTTTCCATTAAGCCCCAGGCAATCTCTTCCACTTGTTCCTCTGTTAATGAAACCATGCTTCCAAAAGAAATATAAACCACAGATTGAGATGTCTTTGTTGCTAGCCATTCCATGCACTCTTCGCTGAGTGGCTTCCATAAATTTGAGCCATAACCTCGGTTACCCTTGATCCTTTCATCCAAGTAAGCAGGTGGTATCATAGGGCCAATCAACTTCGCTGGCCAGGACTCTGATACGCCTCTTGCTTCCTATAAGAACATGTAACTAAAAATATCAGCACAAAATTAACGAAATTCGAATGAGCCAAATGAAAATGAAACCAATTTAACTACGCCCAACGTTAATATGTTTGTTGTACGATCAGGATGATGATGATGCTTTTACGTAGTTTGAAATGATCTAAACATACCTTTCCTTCCAAGTCTTCAAAGGTGTTACAAAAAATCCAATCGGCTTCATTCAAATTCGAGTATTGACTCAATTTCATGGCCAAGTACGCAGGATAACTCTCAGGGAACCTGAGAAAAGTGGGCAAGTCTCGGAAGTTCAATGGAGGAAGTCCTGGTAATCTTAAGGGTGTTCTTTCAGGGGTCAGTGGCAGAGCGAGCAGGCCTCGACGAAGATGAGAAAAGATGCTACACACACTGGCAGAGTTGGTAAAGAATGCAGCTCCATAAATCCCATGCTGCTTTGCCACATCAAGAGCCCACGGCAGGAACGAGTCATACACAACACAATTAAAAGGGGTGCTAGAGCCTTTGAACTTTTGGATGAGTTGAGACAGAGTCCTGGAGCCATTGTCCCTGAACGACTTAAGGTAAAAGTCTACATTTGCTGCTTGAGAAAAGCCACTTTCATCGAACCCATCAGAGATAGGCTCGATCCCCATGCGAGCTACAGATATGGACTGGACAGTGTAGTGGGTTGTGGCTAGAGTTGCCTTGACCCCTTTAGAGGCTAGACATTCAGCGAATTGGAGAAGAGGGTTTATGTGGCCTTGGCTTGGGTACGGCAGTACTACTACGTGCCCTTTAAACTGTTTCTCTTCCATCTTTTTATCTTTTGTTAATGGTTCTCTTTGATGTATTGAAGGCTGCTTCCTAGCAAGGGTGTCCTTTTATAGACCAGATCGTAAAATAAAATCTAAATTGGTTAAGGAGGCAACTGACATGCCCAGTGGGTCATAATTCTGCTGACAGCAGCGAAGAGAAAAAATAAAGCAAAAGCCTTCCGACTTCCGACATTGATTTTTGTGTAAAATTAATGTCTTTTTAAGGTTTTTAAATAATTATCTTCAAGGTTTTGAGTTGTTTTTGACAAACAAAGGTATTATGTAATCTTAATTTCTTAAATGGGGCCTATAGTGTTATACAACTAAATTCCACGTGAGCAAAAAATTCCACGTCACTTTTCTTCCTCCAATCTTCTCCTTCTCTATCTCTATGGAAGTCCAATCTGTGACCGTCCTCATATCTTTTCCATTTCCCCAACAAAAATGAAATTGGTTAGGAATAAGTTAGTAGTTTCCATAAACAAAATATTGAGAAAGTAAAGTGATAAAAAAAAAGTGCGTGTCTCAACTCAGAAATTCATGTCTGTTCAATTTGTAGATCTTTTATGGTATAACAGATCTCAAAATCATTTAATAGAAAGGTTAAATTATACAATAAATTTTTATAATTTAGTCAAATGGGGAAATTAATCCATCTATCTTAATGTGTGTAAATTAAATCCGTATATTTCAATAAATTATCAAATTTAGTCAAATTATTAATAATTTAAACTTTTTTTGTTAAAAAAATTGATGACATAACATTTTAATTTTTTTAATATGATATTTTTCTTACGTGATCATTAACTTTATGGACATATCAAGTCTAAATGATAAAATGATGACATGACAAAAATTTTTTACCATGTCATCACTTTCTACATCAATTTTTCTCAAATTGTATGCCTTGTTCATATATTTTGATTAAATGGAGGAATTAATCCTTTTACCTTAATATTTTTTCAAATTTAATTCTTATACATCAACTAATTATCGAATTTAAGATTTAATCTAAAATAAGTAAAATAAAACTAAAATAAAACACAAAAAGTTTTTTAATGCAAATAAGTCGAATTATAACAAAGTTATTACATTGGTCAACACATGGGTTGTTTTCTAAAATGATGTCATATATGTTATAAAAACAAAAAATTATTTTAATTAATTTTCCTCTTTTCTCTTTTCTCTCATCCTCAATTTTCCTTTTACTTCTCTCCACGAGTATCATTTAATGAATTTATATTTTAATGAGATTTTTAGAAACTAGTGATTAAAAAATTCAATAATTGTAGATAATATTTATTCCAAAATCCGTCAATACTCAGAAATCGATCATCGACACCACCATTTTGTATCATCGTCCGAAATAAAATCGAGCATAATGCCAAAAAAATTCTAAAGCTAAAACCTTTAAAATAATTTCTCAACAAAAAATTATTTCTAATTGTTTTTGTTGGTTGTCTTTATTTTTGTTGTGTTATCTTGTCGATTGTTGTTGAATTGTTAAAAGTTTTTTAGATCAATCTTTCCAAATTTTTTTTTTATATTTTCCTTATTTTTCATTTTTCAATTTTTTTGACTTTCACTTTTTGACTTTTACCAACTAAACAATAAAATAAAAAAGAAAATAATAAATAATAAATAAAATACTTTTGGGCTTTTAAATTTGGGTGTAAAATCCAATTTCACAATTAAAACCTAATTGATCAAAAAATGATTTTGGAACCTAATGTCAAGATGAAATTCAAAGTCTATTTAATATCTAAAAAATTTTTAGACAAAATAAAATGTCTACAGTTGTTTTATTGTTATTGTGTATATGAGTTTGTTGGGTTTGTAGACTATGGGTTTCTTAATCTAATTTTTATATTTCTATCATTTTTAAAGTTTTTAATTTTTTATCTATTTTTAATTTTTTATATTTCAAAATTATTGAAAATAGATATTAATAAAAAATAAAGAATCAAAATCAAAATAAATAAATAAAAGAAAGATAAAAAAAGATATAATTCAGTTTATGTTATGGTTATAATCTAATTTGAAATTAACTTAATTTGTCAATTAAGTCCAATTAATAATTCAAATATCCAAAAAATTTATCTAAATATGAAAAAAAAAGTATCATGGTCGAATTAATAATTTATGTTTTTATATGTTATCTTAAGTTAAATCTTAAATTTGATAATTAATTGGTCTATAAGGATTAAATTTAAACATACATTAAGATAAAGGACTAATTCAATCATTTAACAAAAATACAAGGATGAGCCATACAATTTGAGAAAAGTTTATGTGAAAAAATGATGACATTTCAAAAAATTTTACCATATCATCATTTTTGATCATGTGGACTTTACATGTCAATAAATTCAACGACCATGTAAGCAAAAATGCCACATAAAAAGTCAAAATGTCACATCATAAATGGAAAAACTTTGAACCATTAACCACTACAGGGTTTTAGGTTTTTAGTGCCTTTTTTTTTTTAATGTTTAGCGACATTTATAAATGCCACTAAAAGATTTATGACGTTTGCCAAAAACGCCAGTCAAACTGTCGGCTATACACATGCCACAAAAAATAACGGCATTTTTGTAAAAATGTCACAATATTAGTGGCATTTGTATCTGAAATACTGCTATATTAGCGACGTTTATGAGATGTCGCTAATGTAGTGATGTTTTTATGAGAAAAATACCGTTGCTTTGGTGGTGTTTGTATATGAAAACGCCTTTATATTAATGATGTTTGTATCTTTGAGACGTCACTAATTTAGTAATGTTTTTATAAGAAAAACACCGTTGCTTTGGTGGCGTTTGTATAAAAAAAATCGCTATTTTAGCGGTGTTTTCTAGTAAGAGCACCATTACTTTTAGTGACATTTTATGATACAAACGTCACTAAATTATTCATTTAACAATATTTTTGAATGCAAACACCGTGAAATTAAGAAATGTATTTTTTTTAAATAAAAAATTTCTGTTAATATTTATTATTTTTATAAACGAGCTTAAATTCAGAAACTGAAATTAATATAAACTTAATTCACGTTTAAATATGTATCTAATTAACACAGTTTAATAATTAGTATAATAACATTCAAATATTTTTAATACATTAACAAAATAAAAATTAAAATGTATGAAATTGATGACTGCATAGATTTTGAAGGTTGTTAATTGATGAAGAAATTTTTCTACCTTGGTCACTAGTGTGCTCAAGAACCTACTGAATAATATCATACAATTTTTAACATTTCATTGTAAGCTTTTTTATATTAAAAAATATAAATATTTACTAAATATAATACCTAAGTTGGTGGACTACCAAGATCAGTTCTTGAAAATTATTGTTGCATAAAATTCATAAGATGATTGAATTGATCATGCAACTACTGAAATTTTGTATGCTCTTACTCCATTCTAGCATGTTCTTCTTAAATTTTGGCACACTCATGTTCTCTTTCTACTTTCATTTGCTGAAAATGTTGTTGCATAGTTTGTAACTCCTCTCTCAATATTGAAATGTCTCGCAAAGACTGACTTACTGAGAATGTAAATTGCTGAAAGCTATGTCCATAATAGGTAAATGATGTTGGACCCAATCCAAGGCCTCGGACCTGTCCATGCCTTTCTTTTCCAGTAACTTCTATGAATATCCGTTTTTTCAATTCTTACATGTTGAGAAAACCATCAGATGCTACTTTAATCTCAGCAGTCATTTTTTCTTTTGCTTTCTCCTATAAATTTGTCATATACAAGTATCAAGTTTAATGATTAATTGATAATGTGTTAAAAAGAGTAAATATTTACTTTCTGTTAAAAGAGATGTTACAAATTACCATAATTTCTTATGTTTTGACATTTATGTAAGATCCATTTTTTTGTGTATGTTAAGTGAAAAAGTTTCACATGTCCAATTTTACCGCCCATCTCATTCTCCTATACAAAAACATATGTTATTTGATAGGATACATATCAACCGTAACTTATTGATGCATATCAGTCTGTCAATCAAGTATTAAAATTTCGAATAATATCATGTATTTATATTTTAGCCCCTTAACAACGCAATAGCCTTAAACAAACGCAAACAATAAAAGCATTTTGGGCTTTTATACATATCGATCATAAAAACCAAATTCAATTATTTGAACAAGTTTAATATCATAGATTGAAGCTATTCAATCTATTGAAAGCCATCCAAAAGTTTAATTTGTATATTTGCCTTTTATATGCAAAAAATTTCCCAAATAGACATAAATGATAACTTTTTCTCCCATATCAACCGTAGAAACCAAGTTTAATCAATCAGACAAGTTTAATATCAAGCATTAAAGCTATCCAAACTGTTAAAATACAATAATAACAACAAATTTGTATTTTTACCTAAATATACGTAAACAATAACTTTTTCATACATATCATTCGTGTCAACTAAGTTTTAAACTTTCGATAAGTTTGATATCATGTATTGAAACTATCAAAACTATTAAAATAGAACAATAATTATTAATTTGCATATTTATCTTTTAATAACACAAAAAGTTCATTCATTAGAATAAGTTTAAAATCATAAACTTATTATTTCTTTTTGCTTTTTTGCAAAACTTTTTGATCCACTTGTGTGGCTATATTTTTGTTGCTTTCTGCTACCAATCCCAATCTATTCTCTTTTCTGTCATAAAAAATAATTACGTATATGATAGAAATACAAATATTACCAACTTAAAGCATAAAATATTTTCATCATTTCATTCTACTATACAAAGTTATAAATTAGTACATCTTCTTTTTTAAGAACCAAAATCTAACTAATTGTTCATATTGCCACCTAATCACATTATAGGGTAGATTTTTCATCATCGCCTATACAGTATTATTTTGATCCAAATACTTATTTTTCAAATTTTGCTTATAATCTTTCCATTTCTTTTCCAATGACTTAAGCACAAATGAAGTTGGTATTTCAAATATAAATCTTGACTGCAATAATACAATTAGAAAAGTTTGAATAAGTAAACAAAATGTAAAATAATTATATTTTTATATGTAACTAATTATACTAATACCTCAATAAAGTTTAAAGCATCGACTTTAACTTATTCTGGAACTTTATGCCATGTTTCATAATGAATAGGCAATTTCATTCCATTACGGGCAAGCATGCCTAGAAATCCAGCCAATAGTTGAGCTTCTTCATCAATTGGTTGCCTATCAGAGTTTGCAGACACTATAATATGCTCGTTTAGAGGTAGTGCAAATAATTCCTTCAAAGTTGTCAAGTCTCCAGTCCTCCGTCGACCATTGTTATCAACTACAATAAATAAAAAATAAATTTGTAAAATGGCAATACTTTTATCATTATACTCAAATTCTAAATATAGGGTATATGATACCTGCATTCAAATTTAAAAGCATAATCAATTGACATGATACTATTTAAACCTGAACATCCCGTATTGCCATATCCAATATT